TTTTCTAAATAATATTTATTTTTGTTCTAGATAAATTTTAATTGTCGATATTATCTTGGTAGTGGTATATTTGAAGAAGACAATTTTCAACACCATTTCAAAGGATCATGCGAATTTAGTTTGAGTTGAGTTGAGGAAAGAATTTTATCTCAACATACAAGAACGAGCGAGTTAGGATATAACTCTCGTCCGATTTTTAACATCAATTTTTAAAAAAGTTTCTTTCTCCAAATGTAATTTTTTAATTTATATTTGCGACCGTGTCTAGCGTTAGTTTTTTCAGACTCTTCAGCTGATCCATGACCTACTAATTCTAAAAATAAATACACTTCTATATGAACAGCAAGTGTTGGGGAAAATATTTTCAATAAAATTGTTTTTTATTTTCATAAATCTCACTTCTTTTCAAACTTAACTCAAGATTTTGACAATAAATAAATAAAATAAAAAATTTTGAAATTTTCTTCAAATATTGAGTTAGATTCGAAAAGGAGCGAAATTTAGGAGAATAAATAATAATTTTATAAAAAAATATTTTTTCTAACACATGTTGTTCATATAGAAGTGCATTTATTTCTAGAATTAGTAGGTCATAGGTCAGCTGAAGTGTCTAAAAAAGACAGATGCTAGACGTTCCTTTCATTGGTGCATATGGTCCATTTAGGATAGATTAAGACATGTCAGTGTCTAAAAAATGTTATCCGTTGACACTTGAAGTGTCTAAATGAGAGATATGTCAACCAATCAGAATTAGTTCGAAGTGTCTTGTCTATACATTTCATAAGTCTTATTTTTTGAGTGTATACACTAAAAAATGCCATGCGTCTTACTAGACGGTCCATTCGTCTTGTTCCGCTTGAGTGTCTAAAATCGGTGATCCGTTGACACTTGAGATGTCGAGCTGAGACACCTTACACGTCTAAAAAAAAGACATATTAAGTGCTTCAGCTAGACTCGCGAAGTGCCAACGGATGACCGATTTTAGACACTCAGGCAAAATAAATGCAAAAGAGACGTTTGGTGCGTCTTGCTTAAGTGTCTTGTTTTTTAGAGTGTAAATTTTTCTATTAATTCCATTATCTATGCAACAATAGAAATGGCACAACTTAGTAAGGAAATATTCTTCCTTTTTTTACTACAAATTTCGACTGATTATCATGTTTGATTCTTGCTTTTGAAATGAAGGATAAAAGAATTGTTTTCATTTTTTCAGAGAAAGCTATTAAAAAGTTTTTGTTTTTGATTTAGCTCATCTACATCATCTACTTCGTTTTGATTTAATAATACTTAATGAACGATTTTTTTGGTTTAAAAGCTAAATCACAATCTGAAACGATAGCATTGGCTTGTTGCTTTGGGTTTATTTCAATCAAGTGGAAGCTAAATTGACTACATCATCATCAAATAATAATACATCTTCATTAAGTAACAAACGAAATAGATCATTATAATTTTTATTCTTTATCTTTTAGTGTCTTATCTAAGTACAATTAATAATGAGCTTAAATTAAAAGTACAAGAATTACGTTTCTATGAAACTATTTTTATGCAAAGTATTCATATTGTCAAATCTCTTACAAATAATACACCGACATCTGATGTTAATGTATTTTCATCTCTACTTTTTTTTGTATTTCATCAATATTTTATTTAAATAAAATTTTCAAGAAATTAGATGAAACAACATGTATATTGAGTATTCCTTGTGATGCATTTATACAAACATTTGTTGAATGTGTTAAATTAGCAACTGATAATTCAAATGAATCATCTCTTCTTTTATCTGCAAATTCAAATAATACATCACAAATCAACAAACGAATTTTATTCAATAAAGTATTGTTACTTGTTTAATTTCGATAGAATATTTATTATAAAAAATATCCAATTTTTATAGAACTAGAGATACAACAACAGTTTTATCAAAACAAATTATTTATCGAACATTTTTCTCTGAACTTCGTCATACGTAAATTGATTGTAATCAAATTATTCTTTCTTTAGTATTTTATTCTAGATTTTCTAAGGTAATCCATTTACCATTCAACGAAATTCATGCTGAAATACTTCTTTCCACTTGCGAACAATATCTTGATTTAATCGGTATGAATTTCACATCTTTAAAAAAAAGAAAATTTTTTCTCTGACATAAAATGTTCCAAGAGACAAATTAAGTAGTACCACATTTACTCCATTTCGTTCACATACAAATAATAATACTAATGTAGGTTTCTTATTTATTAATTTTCATTATGATACAATTTTTTTAATAGAAATTGAGAAAAGTAAATAAATAATGATCCAAATAAATTTCAAACATTGTGTTCGATTGTTAATGATGAAATATTTACTCAATCGAAAAAGAGCAAAATTCTGTAACAAATGCACTTTGTCTTAAAGGTAGAATTTTTATATTTATCGAAATTTTCTTTATCTACTTAAGATTTAATTGTTTATTTATTTTTAGAAGTACAGTAAAACCCCTCATAGTGGACACCTCTCTATAGTGAACACCTCCATATAGTGGACACTTCGCGGTCCGACGGAGCGTTTTTTGCTGGAATTGGACCTCTCCATAGTGGACACCTCTGTATAGTGGACACCTCCGTATAGTGGACACTGCTTAAGAGTTTGGAGAAAAATGAGTTGACTTGATGGTCAGCAATTTACGGCTGCTGATTTCGTCCATATAGATTCCTCCATTCCAGTTTTCAACAAATGGGATGCTAATAAACATCTGAGGGAAAACTAGTTGAGGTGGATGGGCAAGAAGAGGAAGATAAGTCTGTGATGGAGAACACGTCAATTCTGTCTACAGCATTGAAGTTGAGGAGAAAGCTTCATATTTTTGTGTCCATTCAACAATCTCAGCTATACACTCTCATCTCCCATCTCAAATTGTAATTAACTGACATTTATCAGGATTCGAAAGTGATAAAAGATAGATCTATCAAAGATTACTTTAATAATTATTGATCGTTCTATTTTCAAAAAACAAAACACATCGAAAGAGAAGTAACAATTTGTTCTGGTCGGCTACTTTATTCACTAACGCTTCAGATATCTAAAAAACCTGTGCATTTCTTCGAAAAACTTGGCTTTTGAGAAAAGCGTAACCTCTCTATAGTGGACACTTTTGAAAAGTCCGAAGGGTGTCCACTATAGAGAGGTTTTACTGTATGCATTTTCTTGCCTGCTTTCGAAATGAATTTGGTCAAGGAAATACAACTGTTGAAGATACAATGAATAAAGCTTATGGACAAACGTTAAAACATTTTCACGGTTGGATTACACGTGGATTTTTTTCAGTAAATATTTTATTTATTTTACAAAAAATCAGGAATCATATTCTTGTAGATTGCTTTTCGATCAGTTCCTTGTACTGAAGATTTTCTTATTTCACTTGCTATTAATCCAAATGATCCTCGAGAAGTTTTATTTGAACAACAAGTTAGTTTTAAGAATTTTAATTAAATAATATATTTCTTATTTCTTGTTTTTTCGTTTGAAGATTTTAAGTGAAATGCTTGAACATAGTACAAATATGAATATTGTTTTACGTAAAATAAATGATTTTTATACTGAACATAAACTTGAATCGGATCAAATCGGTGGTTGAATATTATATATTGCCTCATTAGTTTTTTTATTTATTATATAATGAGTAGACTTATTTTCAATTAATATTTAAATAAATTATTTAATAAAAAAAGAAAATGAAATGAAAAAAAACAAATATTCAAATTTGTATCAAAGTTCCAAATGTTGCGTAAAAAATAAGTTATGAAAGCTGCTTGAAAAGTTTCGTACATTGCCGTGACATGGAATCATTTTTGAAGTCCGCGTTCCTAGATATTATTTGGCATCATGACTTATAAGCCAAATAGGAGACATTTTTTTCAATGCTATATTATAAATCATGAAAATTTCGATATCAACGCTATGTAAATAAGTACGAATTACTTTTTTTAATTCAGTATTTTTAAGACACAATCGATTAAAATCATGATCTTGAATGCTAGAAGTCAAATATTTCAATTCAATAAAATCATTTTCTTTGTTATCAGATAGATTTTGACAAATTAGTACATTTTTCGCTTTTGTAGTTATTTTATCAGCATTTTCTTCCATATTGGATTTTTTTTCAACAAAAAAATGGAAGATTTTTGTTTTTCTGTTCTCGAACAATTTACAAAATAAGTTTGTTTTCATAGTAAATATTTATTTCTTAGAAATTGCGTGATTGTATTCATTTGATTACATGCTCACAGCTTGAAATTGATAATTGAGATTTACCTCATCCTGACTAATATTTTCCATAGAAATGTCTCATGAAAATCCCAGACTGATTTATTTATAGATAAACTAACGACACAACCTAGAAACAAATGTTTATCAAGAGCCGTTGTAGTTGTCTTAGACTTTCACTCTTCATTATTGTATGTTACAATCAATACAAACTTGCAGTAAAATATTGAATTCCTTACTCGCTTTTACTCGATTCAAAAAAATGGAACTCAAAAAGTTCGAGGCAATAACCTAACTACTTCTCTAGGATTAATAATAATTTAAAATCCATATGCGCTTTGTTTCTTGCAATTCATGTATCTTTTTTTATTAACATAACTACCAAACGGCATGTAAAATTGCCATGATTCCTATAATACTGCCAGTGACCTGCCGTAGTCCTATTACCGCCATGAACGAATACCACAGTGTATCACAACATTCACAAAAATGTATAATTAATCATGATTTATTCACAGCCTCAAATGAGTTTGTTGAGCATGATATGAGTGATGACTTACTATCTCCGTTCGCTATAAATCATACAAAAGACTTCATTTTCTAAAGTAAAGAGTTGTTTCCGTAAATATGTTCAAAAACGAACTTTAATGACAGAAAAAATAATTTTAAGAGAGGGCCATCAGAGAGTCAAGCATCCTGCTAGAGACCCATTTAATGACCGGAATTAACATATACATATTTTTTCATCAATCGATTCCTCATATTAAACTGTGGTTATAATAAAATTTTTAGGCTTCTGTGATGTAATCCGATTGAACTACAAGCATTGAAACATGATGAACTCTGGAAAACCGATGAAAAACGGTCTCTCTTAATATTTTGCCTATATCTTCGTCATTTTTCATGCATTTCTTTTCGAGCAACGTCTGATTCGAGAGAGCTTGAAAAACTGAACGAAAAAGCCTCGTATAGCCCTTTTAAAAAGTCGAGTCTTCATATTAAAAAATAGCTTTTTCAAAAAAATTGTACTTTTTTTTTTTTTACATAGAATAGATTTTTTATTATAACCGTTTTTTATTATGATAATTATTCTTGGAGAAAGATAAATACAGTCTATGTTGTAGAGAATTTCATGCTCTATAAAATCCTTATAAAGACTTTCAAGAAAAGTTCCAGAAAGACTTCAAAATTGAAGAACAAGGAGTATAGAATAATATATTCCTTTATGAATGTTTTTAGTTAGAATTAGGTGTGCACCAGTGCCAGTAACTGGGTCCCAGTCGGACTGGGTACTTAGTCATTTGACGTTTATTCCGCTAATCTATCGATACTTCCCTCTTTTCTAAGAGTGTGGGTTGGTTTGACGTTGATATGGGTGTCGTTATTGCCATTCTAACTATTCCCGCATCCAAACAATATCCACACCCATATCCATCCAAACAACACCCACACCCACAATCCACCCACGCACATCTACACCCTAGCCATACCCACACCCTGAAAACATGCAATTCATTTATAGTATTCTAAATTATAACGATTGATATATAGAAATATGTGATTAGCCAATGGATTTAGTATCATAACTTATTTCACTACTTCAACAGCCTAAAAATCACTGTATGGCAATATACTCGAAAAGAAAGTACTACTCGACTAATGGACTAAATATCAAAGGACTCAGTACCCAGTCGCGACTGGGACCCAGTTCACCAGTCAGAACTGGGACTGGTGCATCCCTAGTTAGAATTGATATAGATATATAATTTTCATAGTAAAAGTTGACTGATTGAAAATCGCATTATTTTGCTTTTTTTGAGAAGTTAGACGATCTCCTTGTTCTTCAATTTTGAAGTCTTTCTGGAACTTTTCTTGAAAGTCTTTATAAGGATTTTATAGAGCATGAAATTCTCTACAACATAGACTGTATTTATCTTTCTCCAAGAATAATTATCATAATAAAAAACGGTTATAATAAAAAATCTATTCTATGTAAAAAAAAAAAAAGTACAATTTTTTTTGAAAAAGCTATTTTTTAATATGAAGACTCGACTTTTTAAAAGGGCTATACGAGGCTTTTTCGTTCAGTTTTTCAAGCTCTCTCGAATCAGACGTTGCTCGAAAAGAAATGCATGAAAAATGACGAAGATATAGGCAAAATATTAAGAGAGACCGTTTTTCATCGGTTTTCCAGAGTTCATCATGTTTCAATGCTTGTAGTTCAATCGGATTACATCACAGAAGCCTAAAAATTTTATTATAACCACAGTTTAATATGAGGAATCGATTGATGAAAAAATATGTATATGTTAATTCCGGCCATTAAATCAAGTTTCTCGAAGGCCTCATAAAGTCTCTCTTAAGACTTCAATCAAGACTAAATGACAAATATCATGGAGAAAGTGATCTTTAATCAAATAAAAAAATCTTAAGAATTAAAGAAATTTGTATTATTTGATGTTTTTTTCTTATAGTGGCTGTGTGATCTTGAAGCAAGGAATAAGTATGCAACATGATCTCTTGCCGCAAGAGTGCATATTAACAAATACTCAAAGCTGTTTATGAGTTTCAACATAGAGTACACTTTTCTGTCATAAAACAATAAATTTTTTATCTTCTTTTGATCAGTTTATTAACTTTTTAATGCATATGAATAGAAAAAAAAGATTAACATGAATAAATGTATATGAATAGAAAAAAAAAGAACAACATAAAATGTTTAGGCATAGCCAGGAAAATTAGCCATGTAATTATCTAAGGCTTTTATCATTTTATGCACCAACTCTTTATGTTCGAAATTTGATGAGAAGTCGAAAGTTTTTGCTTTCTTTAATAAATCTAATTGATCATCCATTGTGTCAGTTTTGTAATGAGTTACTGCACATCGATCTTGGCGTAAGAATTGAATATCAGTTAAACTAAGATCAATTTCTTTTTGTAATGGCTCTAAATATTTTATCAATGGTGCATACAAATCTTCATATTTAACTGAAGAACGACCTTGAATTGATTTTAGTATATTCTTGTTTGTTTCTTCTTCGAATTTATTTAAACGAACGATAAACTTGTCCCAAGAACCATCACCAAAACGCCGTAAAAATACTGGTTTTACAAAATATTCTTCGTACAAAGTTGATAAATCATTAGCAAGTATAAAAGCTTCCTTCATGTTTGATCGTTCTTTTAATTCCATAATTTGATCATATAAAAGACCTGTTTTGTTTTCAAGAATACGTATACGATTCAATGTTTCGGAAAAGACATGAGAATGTTCTTCCAGAAATTCAGAAATTTTTCCAACAATATTTTTTAAATCATCTTGATTAACTATTTTTGATAATTTAATTAATTCCTGTTTTATTTTATTTAAACATATATCCGTAGACGTTGATGTCATGAAATAATGTTGGAATGCTTCACAAAGTTTTTTTTTATTATCTTCTGTAATATTCAATTGTTGAAATAACTTGTGAAGTCTCTCATCAGCTAATAAATCATCGATATTGACAACAGAATTTCTTGCCATTGTTTGAAATGTTGATGATAAAGTTATGTTAGACGATACGACGAAATAAATAAACAAAAACAAAAACAAGCGAAGAAAACTTTCATTCTTCAAAAAACTAATCAATCAGAAAATCGAAAGAGTAAAATCACCATTATAGAGGACAAAAATATGAACATGGCGAGTTTTATCAACGCTAAATTTTTCCATTAATTCCATTATTGGTATACTGTCAGGAGGATTAAAAGACGTTTCTTTCGTGCAATTATTAGCAGATGCACTTCGCATAGCGATATCTATAGGAAATTTTTGGCGTATGAATAAATCCAGAATATTTTTACATAATATAGTCGAAAACTGAAAAAGAAGCATAATTATCATAAGTTCATTACTGGCATGAACATATTCTTGTCATTTTGCCCAAATTACTTCGGTGAAAATTCTAGAGAGCAGCACAAGCAAAACGCTTTCGATCTAAAACACATGTTTACAGAGAGTTGCTAGTAATAGGAAATATCTCATTCGATTGTAAATTAAATGTAGAATTTTTTCATAGCTAAATTATAGCATAGAATTCATAGGCCCGAAACCATCAATCAAATGCATAATCTGCTATTAAAGTGTGAGTCATCTGGCGTCTAGACAGCACACCATATCTATGCAACAGTAGAAACGGCACAACTTTGTAAGAGAGAGACAAGTACCGAAAAAACTTATGCAAGCACCAATAGGTCCATCAAGAACAAGACATGGTGGAAGAAATGAAGTTGATGTTGAAGATGATCATACAGGAAGAAGAGCTACTACTGATGTAACTTATTTGGCTGTTGTTTCGCCACCAAAAGAAAACCAATTGACTAATATTCGAAAACAACATGGCCCTAAAGGTATTCATATAGAAATCTTTTATCAATATATTCTATAATAGTTTTATCAGAGCTAAAAAAGTTATATCAGGTATTCAACGTTCTAAGTTTACTCAAGTTAAAGAACACATGGCTGTTATGGCACAATTAGAAGACGATAAAGACGAAACATTCACTGATGATGAACCAATAACACCTGTAAATAATCACATTATTTTTCTTTCTTAATTTTAATAATTGAATTCTAGAATTATCCTTCACATAAGCCGGATAAATTACAAATAAATGATTTTATTTCTATTGCACCAATTGATGATAATACTCAAACATCATTAATAACTGAAAACTTAGTAATAATCAATAAATTCGATCCAAAATCATCACGTTTTTATCTTGATGATATTGATCCATCTAAACAAGCAAGAAAATTTCATAGACAAATAAGTCGAGAAGAAAAACTTTATAATCGAGATAAAGCTGTTTATCTTCAAATGGTTTGTCTTTAAAAATTTTTTTCGTATATCGTTTCATCTTTTTCTTTTTCTTAATTTAGAAAAAAAATCATGGTGAAAAAATTCAACCTGTTGAAAAATCTCATCATCATTTAATGTCACTATCATTTCGTCGAGTTTTAATCAATAAAACTGATTTAACCATTGAAATTTATCAAAAGCTTATAGAAAAAATTTTATTCAGGCTCAATGTTATCCAACAAAATATTTAATTTGTTTAACAGATCGTTTAAAACCTTTTCAATGGACAAATAACTTTGATTTTTTTCCAACTTATTCAACACTTAATTCTTATTTGATTATTATTGTAAATGATGAAACATCGAATGAAAAAAATTTCCTACGAGTACAAGTTGGTCTTAACATGGATTTATATGCTGATACAATTGAAATTGAAAATTTATATGAATCAACAGAATCCATATATAAAATAAATGATTTAAATTGAAAAAACGATTGAATTTATTACAATGTTACCATTTGATACATTTAAACCAATTGATTCGGAATGAAATCGAAAAAAAGCTATTCAAAATGATGAAGATAATGAATTAAGTGAAAGTGAATTTCTTAATAAACAAATTCGTCATCTACAATTATTAGATAAAAATCAAACACAAACGAAAACAATACTTGAAGAAGAACAATTAAATAATGATTCATTTATGGATGAATATGCTTTAATTAAATCAGATATTTGTACAAGTTGTTATCGAGACATGGATGAAACAATTCCGATGACAGCTGTGAAAGCTTGTGCACATTGGTTATGTAATGAATGTTGGAAACAACATCTTGAAAATTCTATTAAACATATTAAAGTTGTTCTTTGTCCTGAATGGAATTGTGATTCAATTGTTGATGTTGGTAAGATTTTGTAAGAGCAGAAACAAAATGAAGTTTGAGAAGAAGAATCACTACAATAACGTAGCTATATCCTATAGTAAATACGTTGCTCATTTCACATTTTTTCAAACATTGAGAGAAGAATAGCTTTCATACACACTGAAGTTCGTCAGGTCCGGACTTGCACTTTCAATAGAACTGACAGAATTCGGATTCAGAATAGACTAGACGATTCTGTTATAGTATTTGCGATATTAAATAATACAATAGAATTTGTTTAATCTGTTAAAAATAATTTTTACGTGAAATAACGCAAAATTCTAAAAGACTCTTCTATTCATAGGTACAATTTTATCATTGGTTAATGTACGTTGTACGAATATTTATGAACGCAATATAGAAAAATGTCTCGTAAATCTATCTCGTTCATATATAAAATGTCCATCAAAATCTTGTTCAAATATTGTTCAAGTAGTTGGTTCAGGTGTTGATCATGTTCGATGTCGTTGTGGTCATCAATTTTGTATAAACTGTAAAAAAGAAGCACATTTCCCAGCAACATGTAGTGCATATCGTATATATATATGAATGAAGTATATCGAAATTATCTCTGATTATAAATGCAATAACTCAAATAAAGGGATGAAATTGTATATCATGCAATAATTTTATTGAAAAAAATGGTTAGTTTTTTTCTTTGTTTTTATTCTATATCACATTCGATATTATTTTGTAGGTGGTTGTAATCATATGACTTATCGATGTGGTGCTGAATTTTGTTGGAGTTGTACTGGTTATTGGAAAGATCACAATGCACCTGATGGAACATTTCGTAGTCCAAAACTAGCTATACCATTACAAGAAGAAACTTTATCTAAACAACATAGCCAATCTCGACATTATCATTATAATGCAATTTATCATCGACATGAACGCATTTTACAATTTCAATCAAAACAAAATGAAAATGCTAAACGTTTACTTGGTACAATACCATTAGATAAAGGAACTTTATTCGATAGTACACTTATAAAATCACAAATTGATAAACGTGAATCTGTTTTACGTCATTTATATGAAATGGTTAAATATATTAAATATTTACATAGTATATGTGAATTTATAGCTGATTCAGCTGATAGTTATGGAAATAATCCAAGTGAATTTCGTAATGGTTCACAACCACTTGAAACAATTGTTTTTAATATGAGTCAAATATTAGAAGGTGGAAAAGGTTATAAAGCTATTGAACAATTAAAACAATTACATGCATCAAGTGAAAAAATTATTGAACGTCTTCGACGTGCTGTTACATTAAGAGAATTACGTTGAATAAATACAACTGGTTATATGACTTCATAAACAATTCGAAATTATTTTTTCTTTTTATTATATCGAAATACATTGCAATGAAAAAGAAACATATAAACAAAATATCACCGGTTTTTTTTCGCTAAACAACTACTTCATAAAACAGTTTTGTATACGATTTGGTGTTGAATTTTCACTTGAAGAATGATATTTTAAAGGAGAAATTATGGGCGGAAAACCATAATGAGAAATTGGATTTGAATGTGTTTCATTGTTTCCAAAAAGTATATTTGTATTTTGAGTTATACAACTCGATTCTGATGATGGATTTGAACCAGATCGAGAATCACTATGATTTCAATGTGGTGATGCACGTATTGCTGTTCCACCTAAACTCAAAGATTACTTTTAATCTTAGTTAATAGAAAAAAATATATATATTTACAGTGAAATTCATCTTTTGATTGCTCTCGCTCGGCAATGTCACTTAATCAATTCAAACAAAAATACTCATTGAAAAAAA